AAGCCCTATAGCTATAGAAACAATGCCCCCTTTGGACGCATGTTTAATATCACATCATGCATGTGGCAACATGCAGCAAGATGACACCCAACGGGAAAACTAGATACGGCGAAACGTTGAGGGCGACATAGGCTAAGACCTGTCAGAATTACATTGGGTTGCTCTGGTCATGAATCCCGAAACTTGGACATAAAATCGTACCCACTTCCAATGACAAGTGTACATCTTGTTTTTCCAAAGGTGGACTTAGTATGGAACCGTCTTTGTCAACTCTGAACCAACCATTGTCTCGACTGGCTATTTATCTGCAGTAGGGGTTTCGAATTAAGGAAATGCCTGGCAAAGATCGTAGAAGTGCAATCCTTATTCTTCATTATGGATCTACATAGCTACAATATTAGTTTAAAAGATTTGTCTTACCTGTGGCTGGATAATGAATATTACGGTGAAGAAAACTTATTGCCAGAAAGAAAGGGATGAAAAGAGTTGTTGATAGAGAGAGTTGCGACGTGAAGGTCTCAATTGTTGGAACCAAAATGGTGGATATTTCGTCAGTGTACATGGGGAATCAGCACACCGTAGCTGCACGCTGTTCTGTACACATGACCCACAGCCATTTTGGTTGTAAAATCTAAAGTTGGTGCTACTCCCTCTATATGTACCGCTCTGAGTATTAATGTAAAAGAGCGAAACTGGGCATTAAAAGATACTTTAGACTAGTTTGCAAAAAGAACTGATCTTCACACAAGACTCATAAAATGGGCCGTAAAGTTAGGTAGCATTTATGCATGAGACTGTCAAAAATGTCTTGCTGCAACCTAACTTAGGTTTAAATGATTTGAATAGGTGAGTGCCGACCCTTTGGGACAAACACGTGAAGTTTAGGTCCTATCAGTGCTAGTGCGAAGAGTCGAGGTTACTTTCAAATTGTTCATTCGGAAGGGTTGCTTTTTTCTTCCCTCTCCAGGCATGTCTTAAATTCACCGCTCGATCGTGCCACAGCATAGTGCATGTGATATATAGCTAAACTTTTCAAAATTAACCGCGCTTACTGTGGTCCTTGCGTCATCAAAATTGGATGTGGCCTTGAAACTTATGTTGTCAAGTCATTTTTTACAATTGCCGGAATGCATCAGCTAATAAGGGAGGGAAGAAATGTTTACCATGAAGAGAAATCTTTCGACCAACATCTCTGTTTTCCCAGTAACAGGGAAGATTTTACATAGGACGTGACTCGTGAATATCTGTTGATTCTATTTTCATTTCTTTCACTAGTGAAATGACAAACCAATCCCCAAAGTCTAAAGGTAGCCAGACAGGCGTCCCTCTATCCCAAGAGGATTGTCCTGTGAAGACTAGGCGCCACGTTGGGAACTGTCTTCCCCCTCAGATTTTAACACCGATGGCGACGAAGGCGCAGGAAAGGAATAACAAATGAAATCTCTCTCTCTATCCTGGGCAATTCTCGTGAGATTCCACCTGAACCAACATCCGACATCCACAGTGGGTTGTTGTTTTCGGTAACGCGGCTATTTTAATATGTGACAGGAAGAAGCTGTAAAAATGTACATGTACACTGGCCCGTGCTAACATTTTATCGCCAAGTTATTGAGTCTTGGTTTACCCATTACACCAAACGTTTGGAGTACTTTAACGCCGCCAGTTTAATTAAAAAATGGCCTTCATTTACATGGGGACCTAATTGAATTGGAAATCACTCCTGTAGCTTTTAGGTCGTTTAGGTGGCACGTTATCAACACCCGACCCTCTCCAGTGTTGTCCCCGTCTGGTCTCCCAATATTCATACCTGAAATTACCTGTCACTCCCGTGTGTGTGATGCGGGATTACAGCAGGCCTCTGAGACAAAATGTGTTACTGTATTTATGTTTAATGAGGAGTTCCTCTGCATTTGATTAATGTCGGATAAGCTAGTTTTTTACACCTGGGGGTCGTCAACTGACCGTTTCGCCCCCTAGTGGGTTAATGGAATTTATTCGCCCGTTTAAATATGCATTTGCTTCAAGACAGGTTGTCGGGGTAGAAATTCCTGAGGGTAACAGAATGCCCACGCTTGTAAAAATAAACCAAATAACAAGAAACATCCTTCATGTTCTTGCCATACGTGTGATACTGATGAAGGGTATTCAGGCTTTTTAAGCGATTTTGTGTAAAGTTTGTAATCTATTTGCTTCTAAGTGGGGATTAAACTCATGAATTGAAAATAAAGCTATCGCATCAAGACCTCTTCAATACAACGACGAAACTCCAGAGCAGACATTGCGCTAGTGATACAGAGAATCATACATGAACCATTTTGTTCGAGGACTTCGATAATCGAATGCTTCTCTGGTCAAGAACGATACACTGCTTCGCTCCACCCCGACCAGAGCTATAGAGCTCTTTAAACAGCTCTGACCCCTGCGTGTCTCTTCCCACCCAGGAGTAAACGGGTATAGGTGCGGCCAAATATGGCTGTTTTGTGTAGCCGTTTACCCCTGTGATGGTCTCAGGAATGTGCAGATTTTGTGAGCCCAGTGTAAAGAGATAATGATAATGCATTACAGATATTAACATTGTTGATATGACCATCAACGCTGAAACAGTCACGTCTTTGGCTCGTCACAAAACATTTTTAGTAGTGCTGATTTGAGTCTCAGTGAAACGAACTTGAGTGGGCCGTTCTGGCCCGAGCACCATGAATAAAACAGACCCTCAGATGGATGTTGACGATGAAAAATGAGATTTTTGCCAAGAACAAGAGATCAGAAGTTTCTTTATTTGTAAACACCTGTTTAGTGCACAGCTTGTCACAGGACAACGGTCCTGTTCGATGCAAAATAGTTAACAGAGACTATGGATTTGCTAAATACTTCACAGAATTAAAGCATAATATACTGGTTTCAACATGGAACAAAATCTCTGCTCCGGTGGTTCCATTTAAGCCCTTTCAACAAAATATATCTCAGAATTTAAAAATCGAAAAAAATCCACCATCGAAACTCCGACACTGCATGCAATTCTTATCCTAAATGTTGAAAAATTACATCACCACATTCCTAATAAATGACCAAATTATTTGACCAATCAGAATGGAAAACTAAGGTTAATTTATTTAAAAAGATTTACCCCTCATTTCAAAGAATACAATTTCTTGCAAAAGGTCTGGGTGGGTGTGTGAATTTGCTTTGCATGCAATTGGGAACCCAGAACAATAGAGAAAAATAAGGTCCCGATTCACAGAGGGTCTCCGTGTAAACAAAAGAGGAACAATATGGCCTGCCCTGTTGCTGGCAAATACACACTTGGGTTTGGGTTTGTGCAGGCGTGGCATACATATTGTGCACCTCTGAACAAAATATGTCTACATAATGTAGGGTGGGATGGCGTTGTGCGGAATCGCACACGTCCACACAATGTTTTACCCTCCATGAAAAACAGTTTCAGAGGCATTCTGGATTCAAGGTTATTCGTGGCAAACTGAAGAGGAACAGTCCAGGAAATCATCATCTAAAATCCAGCTCGAAGGAGTTATCCTAAATGAAGAAAAAAGAGCATTTTCCTCAAGTTTCCATTAACCACAGGAGAACAAAGAAATGTCCACACTTTGCATGTAAAACAGGTATGTGCACGTGCGGGTGTGTGCGTGTGGGATATTATCCGTCAAATTCAAAAGACCTTGGACCAAGTTTTTGTCAAGGGGCAGCTGTCCTCACCCTTGAGGACCATCTGAGACTAGTAACTGACCGCCCCACCTCCTTGGTACTTCAAAGTGCACCCTGTTTCCCCATAAAAGTCCAACTTTATGACAAACCCTTGCGAACAAATTTGCAGTTTATCACCAACACTCGCAGGTAGCTAGCGCTAGAGTGAGAGATGTAAGGTGTAATACATTTCATGTGTGCTAAAATATGCAAGACGAATTCCATATAATGCTTTAGATGCACACCTTTAGTCTCCCGAGGCTACGAATTTCTAATTCCAATACTGGTGTCAATTTAGGTAGACGTGGGCTCCTCTTCATCTGAAACAGGGTACTCGATTGAAAGGCAAGTCCTTTAATTTAAAAGAAGACAAAAATCACCGTTTAAGTCTGATCGAGATCGGCTGATCTTTTTACCCTGATTTGTTGACTGCGTCTCCTTGCAGCGGGGTCTCGCTTCAACAGCAATGAGGTGTCATCTCCTTGCACACAATATGCATCCACCTCGGTGAGCACCGGCACGCTGCCACCTGCGTCTCAGGTTGAGCAGCAGGAAACGACCAGGCCTCCCAGCTCGATGTAAAGATTGCAAGAGGGTAATATGCTGTCTTTTATATCTCTCTTTTTAATCAAGTGCATCTGCACAAATTCCATAACCTTGACTTTTATCGAAGCAGCTTGGGAAATCTATACTTACTCTGACATAACATGGTCCGTATACCGCCAGCTCTCCAATAACAAACTTTGCGGAAATATCTTTTCAAGAAAATTGCTAACGCTGCTGTGAAGGTACGGCCAACCTTTCGCCAATAAGCCTTTTGTGGGTAAAATTTGAATAAAATCTGGGTTATCTGATTGCACATAAACATTACAACTTGAATCCCCTAGACCAAAGACAGTGTTTGCTATACCTCGTGAATCGGGGCAAGCTGTTGCATAGCGACCACCATCTCTGGTATGGACTGGCTCCCCCGTGCTCTTCTTATTCATTGAAAACAGTGTATTGGTGCGAGGCGTCTCTTATGTATAAAACTAAAGCTTGCCCTGAATCAAAAGGTAAAGCAACGGTGTCTTTAATAAAATGTAATTTTCAAATTATTATGATCACATAAATTTAAAGAACTCAGTGTTCCAGAGTTTATTCAATTTAACTCGCAAAAGGCATATTGGTTACAATGAGTTGATCCGTTTTAGCATCGGTGTTATGCGGAACATGTATACATTTTCAACGCCTGTCGTAGACCCGGTACCCAGATGGACTTACCTTAAGAAAGATTCAATTTGGGGTTAACGGCAAAATTTGTTCCAAGTAAACAGGACTGTTTATTTTCATTCACAAATCTGTGCCACAAGGTTTCTACTTTGTATATTTTCCATGCATAATCACGCTGTATATTATAGCTACAAAAATGTTTCAATGTCAAAGTTGTGTCCAATAATTTCAATTAACTTGGACATAAAAGAGAAAAGTATAAAACTAACTATGGCTGTCAAGCTGAAGACACGTTGTTTCTATTTTCAAAAAAAAATTCCTTTGTGGAAACTCAACAGGGGTCAGTAATTACAGAACACAAGAGTTGATTAACAAACACCAAACATTCATCGAATTAGCAAATTCCAAATACAGCGCGCGTCGAGGCTAATGTACACTCCAAATGAATTTGATCACTCGGCTGATTAACGTAAAATATAAGTGGCAATACATTTCGCGATAAGACTCTTGTTTACACCATGCTAAATATAGAGTGGAGATTAAACTTCAAGGTATACCAGTTCTGAGAATTCGATCATTTGCTGTTTGACACTCGCCACACCTATTCTAATTACATCAAAATATTGTTCAAAAATTAAAACACTTTTCGGCTCAATGTGTATGTTCACATCTTTTCATTTAAGATTAATCATAAATTGTTCCAATATAAAGTAGTCTTTTGAAAAGTTGTAGCCTAGCCCCTTCCAAGAACTCTTGAGGGCGGTGCGCAGCTTGCTAAAAAATCATGAGGACCTTATGAGACGCGTGTGCAGGGACAGGCGATTGTCTAAGGCAAGCCAAAGGGGCAACGAGCCCATTGTAAACATGAGCGATTGCTAAGGGTAGGATAGTAAATCTTGAGACCACCGACGGTTCACAACAACATTTTGATCGTTTCCACAATAAATTAGTTCCGTATTTCTCAGATCTTGTTGTTCGGAGGCGATGAGTCAAATTGAGTATTTTCTTCTAGAACGTTAAAAGAAAAAGCAGTCAGTACAACAACTTTGCCGAGCATATTCCACCTTAAATTCACTGCTGGTTATTGCATTAATAACGTCTTTTAATAACATGTTTTTCTTAAGGATCATGAAATCAAGCCCCTGGCAAAGGACCACTTTGAGCAGGCGGTTCACCAGAAAGGTAATGAGGTTATCATGTCTTCCAACGACAACGAAAAAGAAAAGAATCGGTTTTTTTTTCTTTTTAGGGGGGGTCAGTGGTGGTGCCGTGGCTGTCTTTACAAAACGACAGTTGCAACCCCACTCTGCAATTCAAAACTATTTTTTCTAATTAAGTCTCTAATACTGTAATGCAAACAGTTGTAAACATCAAATAGTAAGAAATATCTAGCACAATCTACAAAACACTTACACATCTCTGCAAAAAGCAATTGATACTTCGTTAAATATTCAACACACATGTACACCAACAATAAAATATGCTATAATATTGACCCTTCTTTTGCTACGTTTCCTTTTTTTCCTATTGCGAAAGGTAGTTAAGGAGGCCATCTTTGCGAATCAAAAGATCTATATATCTAGAAAAAAATATTTACCATAATTAACTGGAGATAATTCTTATTATTAGTTAGTGCCAGTGGCGTAGCTAGGATTTTACTAGTGGGGACACAAGGGGAGCACCAGCATCTTACGGGGGCACTAGATTCCAGTGGCATGGTATATTGGGGGCAAACTTTTTGTTAGCTTTGTTCAATATCCATTCATCTTTTTTTTTTTAGTGGGGGCACAATGGGGGGCACCAGGAATCTGTGGGGGCACTATTCGGCGTGAGACTTTGAAATTAGAGGTCTTTTGAGTTTCGGTCAAGACAAATTGGGCAACAGCAAAACTGCGCCATCGTGTGTCATAATTGATATCTCCAAATATATCCCTCCTGAAAAGTTTGTACATACCAAACGAATAATATGTGATACACGCGAGATTAGCCACCCAGAAAATGGGCATAATAGTGACCCAGGGGGATAGGTCATAATTTCAAATGTCATTCTTTTTTCTCTGAACATGTCAACAGCATACAAGTGGCAAAACATGCAACCGCAGCCTTTTTAGCGGGTTGCGGTTGTGTCACTATGCATCGCCGGGTTTTGATAGATGGCGAGAGAGGGACTTTGGAGCCGTTGGTTTTCCAGTGGGAATGCTCACCACAGTTTACAAGGCTCATCCCGTACCATGGCGCTGCCTTTCTTGCATTGATAAGCTTCCGCGAAGTGTTCTGAGTTGGATAGAGTGCCAAGGACCCTGAAAGGAAAAAAAAAGAGACGAAGCGCTTACGTCATTCGAATACACTTAAATTGTAGGGGGAAATCTGGCATAAAATGAAAGAAAGCTTACCTAAATCTTTCAGGGACGTGCACTTTGGCTTTTACTATAACTTCCAGGCTCTCTTTTCGATGGAGGCTGCACCACATCTATTTGGAGGTAAATAGAATGGTCACAGTAAGTACCGATATGATGTCATTTTCTCTGTAATAATTCAATGGGTTCAGAGGGCACCTTGCTCTTTTAGTATTGGACTTTCTCGTGGGTGACACTTCACCAACACTCATCTTGATGTGACTAACCTGCAGCTTGTCACCAGGCCTACCTGTGCAAAGTTCAAGAAGAAAAGCTGGTCATGATTCAGGTTGATTCCGGGCAGCGTGTCCCCTGGATCCCCCACTCGCTTAACCCACCGCTTGTAACCCTAATAAAACAAAAACAGCACCAGAAGATTGTGAGATAATTGATTTGCAGCGTACACTAGTTCTTGGAGCATAAAACAAAACTGCCTGAGGGGTTTTGTGGCTCAAAATGCTCTTTCATTTCTATTGCTATTGTCCTTTTCCTATCTCGTATTTAACTGCAGATCTCGACCCTGACCAAATCTCGTCATGCAATGTACTTCCATGTGTCCTTCCCATGTCGCATAACATTAACGTCAGATCTGTTTTCAGAACACAGTTACTAAGAGATTTGTTTTCATTTCAAATCTGTCGCGCTACGACAATTATCATCTGATCGGCACACTCACGAGATAGGCTTCTTTGATGCCTCCATTGTCAGCCAGTACCTCCCCTTGTGCTTGCTTTCCATTAAGCTGAGAACAGAGAACAAAATTACTAATAAGCACACTCTTACAGGCTTTCAAAGGAAAATGCTGTGTTGCCGTTACCCAAATTCGAGGAATATAATGTGAACACAATTATTGATTTTACAGAGAAGCTTCGAAGTTTTAGACAAAGCAATGCTCAAAGAGAGACAAGAACACCGAACCCGATGGTGTTTAAAGCAATTTTGATGTAAGTACGTTTTCAGACGCTACGCATGCAATTTACGTAATCTTCAAGAGCACAGAAAGGATTCCCTCATAATATGAAAAATAAAACGGGACATGAAGTGAACTGCATTTAACGGATGATTAAGAAAACATTAACCACAAATAGTATAAAGCATTATTAATTGATAAACGATATATAAGCCAGGCACTGGTTTCAACTTTGATGCTTGTTTATACTTACGTAAAGTTCGACTTCGGGGACGTAATAACTTGAGTACTGAGCTATGAAGCACTGTTTCCTTTCCTCGTAAGCCTGGGCCGAAGAATTCGAAAACCACTGATTCATGATACCGTCTTCATCAAAACGGCGCCCTGCAAAGCGGGTAAAAAGGCATCAACAGCAAAAAAATGAATAAAAGAACAAAAAACAAAACACCAAAAGAGAACTAGTAGGCCTATATAGAGATTGGGGGAAACGATTTTCCCAATACACAGTGAACAATGCAACGTTCGTTCAGTGGTAAATCCCCTTCCCCAAACTCGCTGATGGCAGATAGGGGAGTCAAAATCAACTTGACAGTTCACTGAATTTCTCGAATAATAACAAGATGTAAGTAAATTCAGCGAAAGGCTTTTGGGGAGAAATTTCGATCCAGTCAATTTTATTTTCCAATGCACTCTTGCATTTGTGGCACACAAACTGCACTAAATGCGACACTAAAAATTAAAGGTTGCCAAAATATACGAATATTGACCTCTGACCTTTGTCGTCAAATCCATGCATCAGTTCGTGGCCTATAACCATGCCAATGCCTCCATAGTTCATGGACCTGGAAAATGAGATCACAACGGGGGGGGGGAGTTCAGGAACTGTAATATTCAGCTGCAGTGACAATTTCATGTTTCCTATAAGCCTACCTCCAACCTATAAGCATAATTAATACTGCTGTTACGCAGATTGCCTGATACAAACTATAACCAGCAATAAGGCGGTGCTGTTTGCTTAGACGTGATGATATAATCAAGAATTGAACCAAAAAATCAAAGTTCACCTATATTCAGGAATAAGACTTCCCATCCTTTTTTACAATATTCACGAAGAAAAAATTGTGAAACCCCTTTCCCAGTTTCAGCCGAAATAGCATCACAATCATTTGCGGAATAGTCACGACTTAAACGAATAGATGTTTCAATTTGGACACAAAACTTACTTGGGAAACTGACTGGAGTAGAACGGTGGTTGGAATATGCCTGCTGGGAAAACTAGAGAAAGAGTAAAAGAACAAGAAACACATTGTTAAGCTATGACCGCAGTCAATACAATCTGTCAAGGGCCGTTCGATTTGATGAACGCACAAGCAACGAAAGCTGGACTGCATGTATATAATGACCCATGACTTACAGGCCGACAAAAAAGCAACTGGAAAAAAATCAATTTAATGACTGTCCGATTACTCCTTTCTGGCACCTTTGTCCGGCCTCTTGATGGTGTATTCTTATACTTACTTAAACTGTTGTCTGCGTTGCGATAGTACGCATTAATTTTGATTAATTTTTGCTTCCACCTGCAGACCAAAGGAAAATGCCAAGATCAGTTCAGCTTAATGCTATGACTTCAGATTTTGTTTTTGAAGCCAAACCATACTTTAAGTCTTAAACACTGTCGCCATCTCTTTGATGCCATTCTCACCACCAATTTATCATCATCGTCAGTTTCATTGTCATCACATTAATTATAAATAAACTTCGTTATCAACTCCTCATCAGCGGTCGCTGCCATCGCACCTACAAGTCAGTATCGTTGTATGCATGTATGCCTACATGTACTTACAGAAGAACTTCAACTTGCTTGCCGTGATGGGCTATGCTTTCCCTCGCGTCTGTCTGCCATATGGCCCGAATGTTCTCGAAGAAACGGTTGGGAGACATATCTATCTGCAAAGAAAACCAAAGTCCGGTATCGATACATATAATCACTTAGACCAACAGTGGGGAAGTTTCCCATAAGGCTGTGGAGCTCTACAGAGTTACCTATATTGACAATAATTGAGGGGATAAACACGCATACCGATCTGTAGACATCGTTAACTGCTTGCTCGTCTGTCAGGATGTCATCGTAGCCTATCATCTCTTTCGTTTTAGATGCCTGTGCAACAACAAAAGAAAAACAAATCACACTCTTAATCCAAGGTTTGCGATGGTTATTGACAAGAACAGCAATGTATGCGATGTTTCGAACTCTTCATAACACCAATGACAAAGTTATAGTATCCACCACGATTAGTAACTTTTCTGTTCAACCTACTTTGAGTAAGGGGGCTTTAGTATAGAGGTTGTGGCCCTCTTGAAAGACCATTGCGTGTCATCCTCTCCCTAGTCAAGTCAGGAAATATTTCAATGAACTGTGAGACCAATGTCTTTGAAGCGTTTTTCGTGACCAAACTTGTAATTTACCCCATGATTGACGTGGAACTTAAGTTTTGATCGACGGACTTGGGCTAAAATCTTTTGGACTGACTTTGTTCAGTGGTTGCGATAGTTTGTATTAGAACTTTCAACTGTAGGCCTACCAGCAATCAAGCCATATAAGCACTCCACCATTGAGGACTTCTGGGTCAAAGTAACAGTTAGAACATTACAAACGTAGGGGACATATCACCTTATACACACACAAACTGATCAACAACTAGGGCCTACGCATATAAAATTCAGTGGGAGGGACTTTCATTAACCACAAGAGAACAATTGCAAGAAGCACCTTTCTTATAGCATTAGCCCTGGTTTGATCGTCCATCCACGGTACCTCGTTGAGAGTCTCTTTGAGGGTCTCGCGAATATCTTCCAGCATTTCCTGGGCCTTTTGAAAGGGAATGAAATGCAACCTAGAAATGAGACTAAACCTCGTAGAAATAAATACATATATACTTTGGCATATCAATAAACAGTTGCGCCGAACTCTGCTGAAGTTAAATTGTGTCTTGTGGGATTAAGAACGGCACTGGAACTCACTGTAGCCTTGCTGTTGCCGTCAAAGTGCTTCTGGATGAAGAGCGACCCCAGGGCCACGCCGAAGTTGTTGTTGGTTTTCTCGAAGCAGGTCTTCCAGCGACTCTGCTCTCTCTTCTGCCCCATGGTGGCGCTCATGAACTGCTGACGAATATTGCGGAGCTCACTGTCCAGGTACTCGACCATTTCGAACACAATACGCCACATGAGGAAATTGGCCATCGTCCTGCAGTAGAAGAGAAACGTTTGACGCCCAAGCAGATCCTGCTTCGTCTTGTGTTCGTTTTTTGGGTTCTGGATTTTCATTGAGGTTTCATTTTCGACTTGAAGTTGGTGTTTGGCTTGGCTGAGGCGTTTTGTTGGCTCTTTTTTTATAAAGTAAAACTAAGTCTACCCAACAAAAATAAGGGACCTAGCAGATGTCTTTTAGCGCACGTAAAGTGGCCGATTCTGGGCTTGGTAATTTGCTACAGCTATCATACCATTGAACTTTTTTATGTTTTAAGTTCAGTGCACTGAGAAAAAAAAGAAAAAATATCACTTTCAACGATTAAAGCGAGATAAGTGTCATGTCTTGCCCTAGGTCTAAACCATGCAGCAGGAAAAGATGTTCGGTTGCACGAACGACAAACATGCGTTGTAAATCTGCAGAAAAAAATATATGAACAGATACCCCCCCCCAAAATAGCAGTAGAGATAGAGTAGTCTGTACATTTTCCTTAGGATAATGTGTCTCTTACAACAATCAAATGTAGTATATTTGTGGAAAGAAAACGTCGGAAAGCAGCGAAAGTTAAAGTTCCGTGACCACCATAATTATGGTGACTTCAGGCGTGCACATCAATTACAACGTCGTCAATGCAAGTCTAGAACACAATCTCAGTTAACAGAAGTAGGGTCTAACCAATACTTATGCGCATGGAGGGTACTGTGGGTAGAAAAACGTCAATAAAATGTTGGTTCTGTTCAGGAAAATCAGCCTTTCGCTGTGCAGCTCGGAAAGGGCAGCCATTTCGGCATGCCCACGCGACCCGCCTGGTAAGTTGAACCAAACCATTATGCTTCAGGGGTGATTGTGACTTGGAGACATTTTGCTGGTAATGAAATAAATTTATGAAAAACATTTATTCCAAATCAATCCAAACTCTGTTCGGCTTGTATTTTACAGTTATTTCCTTCTTCCATCAGTTTATAATGAGTTTAGAGCATACTTTAATTTCATATTTTCGCAACATTAACCGGATAATTTAGAGTCCTAAACATCAGCTAGTTGCACTCACTCACGAAATTGGCGCCCTTTAACGAAGGTGGTTGTTTAAAACAAACAGCACTTTCCAGCAATGATCAGCCGATCATCGTTGTTTTTCCGAAAAATGTTTGCATTGTAGGTGGAAAATTATTTTACAGATTGACCAAGGCTGTTATTTACTTCCATTAAAATGAGACACTTAAGGAATATTCGGTAGTCCCATTTTTCAATTCACTGATGGTGCATACTAAGAGGCTAATCACCCTAATAACTATACTGCCTTTAGGGTTAATTTCTTTGTAAAAGTTAAAGTCGATAACCTTACCTCTTTGAAGTCGCGTTGATGTGAGCGGCCGTCTTTTGAAAATAGGAATGGGCAGCGTTTATTATTTCCTCGTCCGGAGAAAATTCGTCCGTGTGTATCAAACGAAAGTACCTCAGCCAGTCTATCTGCACACGGAGAGAAAACGCATATTTCAAAAGCTGGTGACAAAAACTTCGATATATTCATTTTAATAAGTTACACTTTCAGGGGGGAAAAGTAAGAACCTGGGTCAAGTAGCACGTAGGGCTTTACCATTTGTTAGCAACGATTTTTTCCCCTTGAATACTGGCTAGTTTGATCGGTACGTAAGAGCACATTCATGTGTTTGTCTTTTGAGATTGCGGTGGCAATGTCTGTCCAAATCTGGTAATGAAGCGTGAGGGTTTTATCAAATCGGCGTTCTTCCCACTCTTTCGGCGTCTTCTTTCGCCTCAGAGTATACCCCCACCGTATCGAGAGGTCAGATCATATTACTATTGAGTCCCTGTATAAAAAAATGGCTTAGATTGAGCTACAGAATCTCCAAAATCAAAGATCTAAACAAAAAAGTAGTATGTTCTGTTTTATAATACAGGTTTATGACTACTGTTGGCGTTGTGCGTCCTCTTTGCACCGTGTTTAGCATGCTAGAGGTACGGTAGTCGAGAATACCTCTGCGGTAGACCTCAGACAATGCCTTGCTCCTGCTATCCGACACGTGCCGTGAAACTTTGATCTCGAAGAAGATCACAAATGCAATCATGAAATCTCTTCTGTGAATATTACTGCTAGGACCGCACGAACCTGTGGCATCTCCTGCTGCAGTCTCCTCGTGGTGTACCTGTTTTTATATTTGGACATGTCCCTCATCTCGGCGGATGAAACGGAAAACTGGAATTAAACACCAGGTAGAAAATACAATAAAAACCGACTCTGGAAGAGTAATCTACTGCTAAAAAGTCAAATAAACAGGAAGCTTTGAAAAGAACAATCCATTAGAAACTTCTTGCTCAGAAGCAAAGTGCGCAGCTTTATGCTCTGATTACTGGTGCCTCTTGGTTTTGTGGCAATACGAGCGATTCACAACAGTGCGCCTCCAAGAGTTTGCAACGCGTTGGTAAATCACAACACGTGAGATTTGTCGACCCTTTCCAAACGCGCAGAGACAGATTTCGCACATTGTAATTGGCCAACACGTTGCAAACTCGTGGAGGCGCACTATTGTGAATCGCCCGTATTATTTGTGCCGTTTAAAGCCAACGACAAACCTTGCTGGCTATAGGTCGGCTCATACATGGCGCGGAAAGCGAACAGAAACGCAAATTTGTGACACCAGATCAAGTGTTCGCGCTGTGAATTCGTACAAATTGAACATATTTCAGCTCGAGGGAAACTTTGCTGCGAATCTTCAGTGACATCAAATTCGCTTCACTGTCACATTCACCGGAAGTAAGAACCGGTTTTTAATTAGGGTGAAGTGGATGTTCACATGTAGTTTGCAGATTATTTTAACCCAAGGTTCAAAACAGCTCTTGCTCTCAAAATATTACTTTTATTCCGCCAACATTTAGGACAAATAGTCTCCGTTAGTAATATTCAAGTCTAGTTCATCGTGTGCGGTAGTTTTAATTGTTTTGAAATCCTTTGGGTTCTTCTGAGATGGCTCCCCGTACTTTTCTAGCTCAAGGTTACTAGAAAATATATATTTGATGTAGCAAAAAAATAAATAGCTCTTTACAGATACCACCAGTGAACAGAGTCTGAGCGAGGTAACTGTCGATTGCTTCGACAGGCATGATCTTAGGAAATGGGACCTGTCACTGTGCAGATCTCCCGACAATTGCGAAACTGGGAAGGTAAGAGCTTTCCCTCGGCTCAGGACTTCGCTGCCTCCACCCCGGGAAAAAAAAGCTTGGTACTGACTTCTCGAGATGGGCGCCAATTCCACGGTGTCATCACACCCACAGCGAGCATGCCGTTGTATACAATGTACTGGACGCCTGCGAGCACCCAGACAAGTTGAAGCGCCTTATAGGTTCCGAGCTGGACCAAGAGAGGGCGCAATTTCCCTAGTAAAGGAGGTTCCCTTAGTAGTAACTACGCTTCGCCAGTTCACGAATGACTATGAAATGCAAGCGTTGAGGTCGCATCGCTGCCAACATGAGCACCCCTGACCAACATGGCTCTTTCCAACCTATGAGGGGTGCCTCTGCTCAGGGCCGATACTGGCTTAATAGACGTGTACGCGCCCTTACCTCCTGTGCAGGAGCATAATGCCTCGGCAGCAATGGCTTTTTATTTTTCACTATTGTTTCTTGGATTAATGCTAGGATCTAGCCTAGTAAATGACTTATCCTCCCAGGGGATGCCCCGAGAGCGTTCAGATATTTGACCCAAAAAAGAAAAGTATATTCACGTTTGCAAGGGCGCGTTCAAACTCCAGAGCGTCCGCCATCTGCCTCCTGGCTTCCTCCCTGTCTGAGTCCGGCCGCAGAACAGTCGCGATGTCGACCATGTAGTCGAAATAGGCCGCCAGTTTCTGGACAGCATGGAGATTTCATATACAGTGGGATTGACTTGGTTGATTACGATACGAAAAGGGGGTGTGACTGCGTCATGGGTAGAGAGAACACAAATCTCAGCATAGCAAATTCAGAAACAAGGATGTAATGAAAAAGCTGGCTTTTCTCCCCAAAAAAATCAATTTAATAATGATCGATTTCAACTTACCGAGTCTGTTTTCTCCCGCAGATAGAATGACCTGTCTTCCAGAGATAATTCAGGCTGGTCTATCTACACAAAAACAATTAAGTCGAAATCTAGAATCAATACAGAATGTACGTCAGAATTTTTGTTATCAACTGTCGTTCTCTTGCAATAAACCAATTCAAATTCATTGCCTCCATTGCCTAAACACTTTTAGAAATACTGATCGCAATTTGCTATGTAAGTATAAAAATTACCCTTCATCAAGGGTGTATCCGGAACCCTAGGGCCACACTTGTTGGGGGGGGGGGCAAAAACTGCCATTCGTTTCAAGTAACTTATTATGACCTTTCTGCTGAGTGAGGCTACTTTAGGGGCTTCTTAAAAGTTTGAAGTAACCTATTATGACCTTTCTGCGTAGTGAGGCTCCTTTAGGATTGGGCTTCTTACAAGTTTCTTTAAAAGCACTCTTCCACCTCATTGCTTTTCTCATCTACGAACCCTTAAAGCCCAGCAATAAAAGAGGGCGCTTGAAGGAGGACTGGTGCAGAGCTGTATGTAGAGCAACGCCAACTTCGTCTTTGTTACCGAAATGGCTGCTCATTGTGCGCAGTACAGCATGCATCATTGTGTCTTAATTGTCCACGTGCGCTGACGCATAATCCGCCATTTTGGTTCCAACACATGAGACACTTCGCAACTCTCTCTCTCTCTTAAAACAGCTCTGGACTGGTGATGAAGGGCAAAGATGCACTATGCGCCGAATCGCTTCGAACCCAAATCTGCGGCGCCTAGTCTATATCAAATTATGAACAATGCTTCGGAGAGAATGTGTGCCAACCAGAGCATATAAAATGAAAATACATGTAAAAACAAACCTAATTTTTGTTGCAACCTTATCAACAGCATCTTCAAGTTTGAGCACAGACAATTCGTTAAGCACTACATTTTGTCGGTCTTGCCCAGTACCGGGTTTGTATTTTATGCATACAGGTTAACAGACAAAATCGACTGCTGTCTGACAAATGATCTCTAATCAAGCTTGGCCTGCACTTAAACTAAATATTAATAAGGGCACCCTCTAGGGCATAAAACCCCTTTTTTCTCTTGGATGGTTCTTAAAGCAGGCTGGTGTGTCTTTCGTTATTTTAAATCAACTGGCTGCGGCTTAGAAATACCACACTCGTCCGTTGGAAGAGGCTGCAGCCGCTATAGCCAGTGGCGACTGAAACACTTCACGGATTAATTGTCAGCCGCAGCCACAACATTCAAGGACACAGCCTTACTATGATAATGTAGTTTCCAGCGTTGATCATGTCCGGCATGAAGTCATGACGGAAGAGGAAGTTGTAGTCGGTTTCCATTCGGTACTTGGCCAGGGCCTCCTCCAGATCCCAGGCTTCCTCGTCCCACGAGTCGCCGGCGACAACCGGCCAGCCGCCCACTTCCTCTATGAGGTCCATTAGGGGCTGGGCGCCAATTTGGTCTATCAGCTCTGTGGAGTCGAGATGCAGTAAGCGGTAAGATTATTGCACTCCAACACCTCGCATTTCATATGAAATTGGCCTTATACACAAGTCGGCCATATCGAAGTGAAAGCGAGGTTACCTCTTGGGGTGGGGTCTGGGAGTAAACATAAAATCAATATAATGTGTACATAAATGTGATTCTGCCATCGTACATTCGATCGTAAAGAGCACTACCGTAAAATTGTAATCCGGCCCGAGCTGGACTAAGAGAGGGCGCAATTTTCCTATCAACTGCGGCTCCATTACACTTCGCTGGTTCACAATGATGTATGAAATGCACGCGTTGCGGTTCCTATCGCCACAAACAAAAATGAGTAATCCCGACCCACATGGTTCTTTTCAACCGTGAGGGGGTGCTTCAGCTCGACGTGGATACACTTTGTCCAGAAAGCTGGGTTTACGATATGAATGTGTGAATAAAATGCACCATGGTTGTGCTAATGTCACCTTCCTGCTATTTTTGGACTTGAATCTCCACTCTTACTATTGACAGTATCATAGGTGCTATTAAACCAAGCTCTGCAAAGGGGGCGAGCTTCAAGTTGGACGGGGCTGTATTTGTGTGGGGTCGACAGAATGAGCTTGACATACCTACGTTTGTACAGGACTCGTAAAATTCCTTCGCCTTGGCAACGGCCTCCGAGTCGTTTGCAGACCTCGTCTCTAGCATTCCTGCCGAGCAGATACAAATTTGGATTGTAATGGAAACTGTACACAAATATTATTTCCGGAAACTCTCAGAGCAATGACAACAGCAGGGTCTTCAAATGCACAGTTAAAACAGAGACGCGTCCCGTTTGGGGCGTAAAACTTCCACTGTGTTCCAATCATTAAACTATTTGTTTTCAAATTTGACTGGAGAGGGCAAGTGCAATCAGGTGATGTGGTTTAGCGTAGGTTAACTTGAACGTGGCACTTGCACTTAGGGGCGGTTCCAGGAATTTTCGCCCTGGGTGGTCAGGTCTGTCAGATTTATTTTTTAATGTCCAATTGTTCAAGAAACAGACGCATACGTTACATTGTTACTGATGTTCAAATAATAACACTCTTTGAGTGTAACTTTTAATGTGACAAACTTGTTATGTCATTCTTTTGGTATAAGTGCAGGGGTTGACACCCAATCCCACCCCCATACACATGGCGATAATAGAGGATATTGTCGCCAGAATCCACTCCATTGCTTCTACAGATTGCTTGCATCCTTTTTGGTCCACAGCGCCAATCGAAAAAGCAAATGGGGGGGCATTAGAGAAGAGAGGCGCCAAGTGCACGACGTTATTTGTGCCGAGCGCATGCGCCAGACATCTTAGCCTTTACTCAAGACGTGCGTGGCTACCTGGACACACGACACACACCCCGCGTCAGCAATGCACTACTGAAGACGCCGTTAGCCTGTTAGCGCTACACTGCACTGTACGTGTTGGTCTTTGTCGTGCTAGCAGCCGAGGATGCGCGTCGGTTATCCAGGTAGCTAGGCGCGCCTTGAGTAGAGGCTACATTCATCTACAGATAATTATGGCCAACAACATGATCGACCTTCGCATTGGGAAATAGGTTCGGATCTACCGAATGTGAAAGCAGTTTCGATTTGGGCCGCGCAGTTTTCATCGAAGTGATTTCATTAAATGACCAATCGTCCCGATGCCCTCGATCCCCTCGCAAAAGATCGCCCAAACTGCTGTCACAGACTGCCAATCGCTCCAAGATGGCGGAACACGGGAGGTGTGATGTAAAGTGCATGTGATCTATTCAGTAGTTTGACTCCCAAGTCTTATCAGGGTCTCTTACCGCGACTCATTTCCATCAGGCGGTTGAATACCTCTTCGAAGACCGTGTATTTGGCCTCCTCGTCAGGTATGAAGTGCTTTCGGTTCCATCCTCCGCAGGCAAACTGGTAAAAATCTTGGCATGGGTCTGCTGTCAGATCCATGCTGTCTAAAACATTTCCAGCTGATTTAAAAAAAAAAATATATATATAAGTAAATATATCAATTCATACCACAATAATGTTACTGCCTCTGTTATCTTGAGTACCGTAATACACTCACAGGTGTCAAAGAAAAATCGAGTGAACATTTCTCTCAAGAGCAGATTTTGTATCGTTCCTGAACATTATATACTTATCAAACTTTTTCAAAAAGTAAATCGTAAAAAACACAGTGTCCAGAGTACAAATAATTTACAAGGTCGGTGTCATTGACATCTACTCACCTGTGATAACACACTCTGGCGAAGTACAGACGCCCTCTGTTGACAGGGGAGATTTGGAGGCCCCTCCCAACTCCATCGTAGACACCGAAGAAGCTGGTAATTGACAGTAACCAGAATATGAAAGGATTGATAATGAACAACACACTACATTTATACTGAAGAAATATATCGAGTTTTAAGAATAAGAAAGCCAAAAGAACTGGAACAGACATGAGGGTTGTCAAGTACATTGATTCCTAACAATTTTTTTAGCATTGGATTTTTGCTCAATCTTTCTTTTATGTTATGTTAAATTTTAAATAAAATAAAATCCCAGAACATTTTTTAGTGACATTATTTTTTACATTTGCATGCATTTTTAAGCCACAATTTATACACTGTACCATAGACCTATCACGCTAAAAACAGGGATAAAAATAATGAGCTATCTGTTCTGCAAGATGGCGGGTGGTTTTGCAGCCCATAAGCAAAGTCTGGTTCCTTTCTTCGGGCCGAAGTATTTTGGCCACATTCCCATCGTGGTGCCAGTCGTACGACATGCCGCATGACATGAAATATCAACCAATGTTGTCTCAGCTTGTTAAGTAAAGCTCGCGCTTTTGCGCCGAATTTACCTGAGCCGAAATTCCGATCATGACTGCAAATTTGAAAAGTCTCACCCCTTCCATGTTACGACACCCAAAGAAGTCCAGAAATTTTCAAAGATGCAGTCCATGTCTGCCGCTGTAATGAGAACAAAGAGGGGCCTGTCCTGACAGCATGTAACATTTCCGGGACGGGGATCGTGTTGCATGCGTCGGGCGGCACTGACTCGATCAGCGGGGCTGCGCCGGTCGTCATTTCCGTATAGACCCATGCTGGTTTCCGTTTGGCGTGATCGTTACTTTTCCCACCCACCGTGGGGTGCCAAATACCTATCATTTTCTTGTACAGGTTTTGGTATCCTGCCACGATTTTGTATGTGCTATTTTAGGGTTCGTTTTAAATTGGGCGTCTTGCTGTTTTACTTCAGCTACGAGTCCCGGAAAATTGCGCTCAATTGCCAATGTCTACAGTCTTGCTAAATTTAAATTGCTTCGTACACGAATAGCAATTGAAGGGGGAATTTAGTTCGTGGTTTGGGTGCGTTTACAAAGTGGAGAATTCTTCCGTAAATAAATGCAAAGACTTTCAAAGTAATTTACAATGTTTGTGATTATAGAAAATTTAATGTCACCAATGTATTTGAACCGTCAATGCATGCATATAGCTTAATAGTCCAACTGGAAAGTCACCCCAGCATTTCCCTTTCAGCCGCAATCGAGAGAGAGAAAAAAACAACTCTTATTGCAGTACCTTGTGCACATTCACGACCGAGAGCTGAGCTGTCACTGATCCATCCATCTACACATGTCAGTTGCTATTTTTGTTGTTTACCATGCTGGATTGGACATAGAGCAGGGGTGGTGTACGTAAACGCGAGCATAGCCTTAGGCACACGACATAATAGACAGCGGCAATACACACGCACATCCTGCCTTCATCTTGCTCTTCAAATTTTAATGGCAACTAAACATATCTAAAGTATCCTAACACAATATGAGATGGTTCATGTCGGATGTATAGTCGATTAAATTCTATGGCCACTTGATATTGGATGTTAACAAACTAGTTCCCCGCGGCATCGACCCTGGAACTAGGTTGTCAACTTCTACTACCTCGGGTGCCAAAATTGACCAGCCACCTTCAAAACCTCGGTACACGTGATTGGTGGAACGCGCATCAAGTGACATTCGTTATCGCTGCCCTTCACACCGGGGCTGGAAATGTCCAACTCGTCCATTGTGAATGAGATGTACTTTTCAAAAGTTCGGACCATCTTTAATAGTACGGCTTTGGAATCTGTCGACCCTCGCTAGTTTTGAACAGCGCAGCATTGCAAACTAAAACCTAGGGAGAAGGTTCGTGCTGCTTGACAAGCCCACACAATCATGGCGGTAATGTCAATATACGTGCCCACGTTTGCGTCCGTTTAGAACCATAATTTTGGACCGATATCCGTTGAATAGAACTTTTGTGTACCCCCCCATTCGCCCGAAATTAGGGAACTAGATCCGTCCTTGACACAAAGTAGTCGTAGATGGGCCAATTCTAGTTCCCTACAGCGGCATCAATTCAGACGGCAGCGTGAAACAGTCTGTCGGAATGTTGTCGATGGCAGACCGATTCAGGTTTAGGTAACATGTACTTCTGGAATGCGAGTGCACCGGCAAGAGACACCGGGGGAAGAGAGATCACAGCGTACGCCGAAAGGTTGTCGCACCGGTAAAAATGAGCCCCCAACACCGGCAAAGGCACAAGAAAAACATGTTTGCTTTGATTAGAAGGAGGTACACCTGTGGAATCGCGGCCCGGGGTTCCGTGCAGCGGGCCAGTTTTAGTACCCCTTTCCCTGTCTACTCTTAGTTGGTCCTTCTTGTGGACGATCCGATGGCAACATAATCCGCAGTTCGCGTGAAAGCACCAAATTACCACAATCTATACCACCTGTGCTTGGAGATATTTTTATTTCGGGGTAGGGGGCGCATGGACCTTGAATCGTTTCGAAGCCTTGTACACAACCAGTCCTCGCACTGACGCGCCACGTTGCAACTATAGCGAGGCTAGACTTGCAAAGCAAAGAACCTGCTTCACAATACCGCGTAGGTTACTGAACAATTTTTACGTAAGAATCCGTGCAGGTGGCCAAGGCTGGCCATTGCAGCCTTGCTATACACCCAGTTGAGACGTGACCCGAGAATATTATCAACTATGTGGTTCAGTGTATTTGCCAATCAGCTAAATAAAGAGATCAAGGGGAGAGAAGGCCCAAAAATGCCGGCGTAGGTTAGTGGTGTGTCGGCTATCTGCACTGGACTTCATGATGTCGAAATGACGGTGTTAGTAGCTTAAACCTTAGAGTTGCACTGTTTTGCATGCTGTAGTAAGGTACTACATGTATTGTGATTCATCATAAAACCTTAATGTTGTGATCCGTTTACATCGGTAAGAAAGTCGCCATGCCTAGGGTGTCACTTTCCTGATTCCTCACTGCGGTTTTCTTTCAGTCGCATTGCACAGTCTTTGAGAGTGTCTCTTTTTCTCATGGTCATCAAAGGAAAATACAAAGATCTTGAAAAAGGATGGTTTGGCATTCTTTTCCTTGCTCTGTTCTTCGGTCAATGACAGCTAGCCCTGCTGGTCAAAGACCCTGTCATCTTTATGAAATATGATGCCGTTCTGGTGGGCGACGTGCGATGAAACACTGCCAGGAACTTGCCGATTTCTACACCCACAGGGATCTTTTCATTACAGTTCGACCTCATACATGGTAATAGTAGAAATGAGTCAGCATACCATGGTATCTCCCACCTTTTCTATCAAGAGGATATTTGTTTTCATAACGTTTCAGATGTTATCCGAATATTAACAAACAAGGCCTCTTTTAAGGTCCCCGAGCATAAAAATTTATTCACCAAACCGAAAAAGTCAACCGGCACGCGTTCCATGGACGTAAGATAATTAGAATTGTAGGGCTTAAAAGTATGCATTATTAGAATTATAAACAATAATCAAATTAAATTTTAGCAATTTATTCACTATGCCAGCATAACTTTCCTCGATGACCATTTCATTAAAAATACAAAAACTGGAAATTAGTAAGAAAATGATGAATGCATCCCTTATAACTACAAATGCATTTGATAAAAAATACTATAGACCAATAAACGTTCTCAATGCTACCAAAGTTGGCCATGATGGAGGATTATCTAGGCACGAGGAGAGGAGAGAAAGATGTCTGTGTGAGATGAAATGATCTGGAATCAACGGCTAACGACAAAAAGTCCTGACACGAACACAGACTCACGCAACAGATGAGAATTTAGGGAAATGAAACAAACACAGACTTGTGGAAGAAAGAAAAGGAAGATTGCATGGAGAAACAAGGCACAGGGAAAACACAAGAAAGAGCAAGATGAGGGTGGGTAGAGGAGAATGGAAAGAGACGAGAAAAAGTACAACCCCATGGGTGGTCCAGAACAGAGGAAACGGCGGGGTATAACAGACGTGTATAGAGAAGCATTATGGAGTGGATTTTACTTCTGCTAATATTAGTTGCTGAAATGGTTTAATATCTGCCAAGAAAAATACCTGTCTCTCTGTTTACTTTAGTGGAACCTGGCTCAAAAATCCATTGTGTCGTACGCACACAAATAGTTCTTGAACTGAATCTGCTTGACCTGACGAACGTACCCAGTTACCAAAAGCTCGGCAATCACATGTTTCAGAGCACTGATTTTATTTTGTCAATATTCTGATCACCGTGCTACGCTTGTTGATCTGTTTTACACTGCACACTCTGCGACGAAATAACTGGACTTGGATCAGCTCTTTTCCCTGTAGGCTAATCACGATTTATCATTACAAAGTTAACCGGAAGTCCAGAACGCAGTTCTTACTGCGACGTCAGGAGGAAGTCACACTTGGATGCGCATGCATTAATACGAGAACGTACACAGCCTTAAAAGGTCCCCCATCCCTTACTGGTTGAACAGCAATACCAAATAAGGGGCGCCACACGGCAGTGTCTGTTATACAGATAATTCCAGACCTCGGAGTTTTGTAAGAGTGTGTGTGTGTGTCTGTATTATCTCTGCCTGATTTGGGGTCGCGCAACATTGTAAAATAGACGGTTTATCCTAGCCTCCTGCTAAGACACAAGGTCACACACGCAAATATCTAGTAATCAAAGAGAGGGAAAGTAAGAAAGGCTGAGCTGGAGCGGTAAAACTTGACCTCATTTGACCTGTCAGTAACACCTGTTTTTCAGGAGTGCAATTCGGTTTTTTTTACTCTTCCACGGGCTTGCGGCAGAGAAGGGGAAAACAATGTTCCCAGGGTTTCGGCTTTGCAGACGCAAATTTGGCTCGCAAATGAAATCAACATTTTTGTTGGCATGCTGTGACCTCCAGTGAAGTTGTGGCACGTCGACCGCTGGGGGGATTTTGGTTTCATTCTCACTTCAACGACTGTGCAGAAATGTACGTGTTCCACGACAACGCGCAAGATGTGGT